CCGGGGCAGGGGACCATTCAGCTCCCCGTGATCTCCCGCTCTGCCCCTGCCCAGGCCTAACACCTCTGCCAAGGCATTAGGCCTGGGCAGCTGGGACTACCAGCTCCCCACGATCTCCCTCTATGCCCCTGCCCAGGCCTAATGCCTCTGGCCGAGGCGTCCTGCCCGGGCAGCGGGGACCCGCAGTGGCAGCGGCCCCGCGATTGTGGGCTCCGCTTTAGGCCCAGGCAAGGGATCCCTAGCTCCCGGGACTGCCAGCTTTGACCCTGCCCAGCTCCCATCACTGGCTCCACCCCTACTTCCTGCTATCACTGGCCAGGGCGGCAAAGGCGCCTGATTCTCTGATCATGGCTGGGGGGCAGGGCAAAGGCGGCCCTGGGGGCTCTTAGCGCCCCCCTGGGTTTCCGATCACTGTCAGTGGCAGGGGGCTTCTTCCTACTTTCCCTTTCGCCTCCCTGCATTGTGCCTACATATGCAAATTAACCGCCATTTTGTTGTCAGTTAACTGCCATCTGAGTTGGCAGTTAATTTGCATATAGCCCTGATTAGCCAATGAAAAGGGTATTGTCGTACGCCAATTACCATTTTTCTCTTTTATTATATAGGATAGGGATGAAATCGTTGCCGGTCATTTAAAAGACATATAGGCTAACAGCAAAAATCTTAATATAATCTTGGGATCTTCTATCCCTAAGTAACCATCTCCCTTCTACATGTATCTGATAAGAATCCTTTCTAGAAGATACACAAGGGTAGATTTCAGATAATTGTTTCCCATTTCACTGATGTGAGGAATTCAACCTATCAAACTTCTTCTATTCTGCAGAAAAAAATTTTAAGCAGCAAACAAATAAAAACAATCATCAAAACAAGTTATCTTTAGCGAGTCTAAGAACTTTTAGATTCCTAGAAGTGTGAAGGTTTATAGTAGTGGTGAACCTCACACCATGAAGTGATCTAATATGCAGTGTTGGGGTGGCCTGGAGTTAGTCATTTTGGGAAGTCTTAGGCTAAGTGAAATACTTCAGAAGTAATGCTTAATTGCTATCCTTCTGGCTTAGAAAGAGAAATACCAAGACCCTAGAAAATCACCAGCCAAAACAAGAACTTTGGAAACTAATCTTCCAAAAAAAATCATAAATCTTGTGGGGGTTCTTTAAACTTTGGTTTTCTCAACGTATAACTTTGGTTTTAAGGATTAGAAACAATACACAAAACGTACCTTGCACAAAGAAATCTCACAGTAAATGGTAGCTATTACTGTCACCTCCTGCCATTGAGAACCATACTTCTCATATTAGTACCTTCTCCCAACGTCTACCACATATTTGACTATCATATAAATATTTACCAAAGGAGTGACTTTAATGATAGGTTGCACTTTGCGGCCAAACCCTAGAGTGGGTCAGCCCGGGTTAGACTCTGAAGCCATGGGAAAATTACAGACAAGACCGTCTCCAACTTGCCTACAGAGCTAAACTACAATTCCCAGCATGCAGTCAAACTCCGTGGTTGCACTGCATCCTGGGAAGAAGTCCGGAGCTACGTGAAAGCGCTGTAGTTGACACAAATCCGCGGGTTCTAGCGTAGACACGCACAGAGACTGCGCAGATCTCCTCGTCTGGGTTCTGCGGAACTCTTTTTGAGTACAGGGACCTTAGCCGGAAGGATTAAAGAACCGTTCCATTTCCGGAAGTAACGGGAGCGTTTCGAACATGGCGACCTCCCAAGCGAACGGGCTAGCCCCGGCAGCTGGGAAGAGTGAATTTCGTAACCAGAAGCAGAAGCAGGAGAACCGAGGTAAGGTGGTGTGAGCACCGAAGCCCGGGTGTGGAGGTTCAGTTGCGATCGTGTGACGCCGCCTCGAATCTGTTCTCTGAAGTTGAGTGCCCATAAGAGCTGCTTTTTAGCCGAGGCCGGTTTTGCTCAGTGGATAGAGCGTCGGCCTGCGGACTGAAAGGTCCCAGGTATGATTCCGGTCAGGGGCATGTGCCAGAGTTGCGGGCGCATCCCCGGTGGGGGGTGTGCGGGAGGCGGCTGGTCGATGTTTCTCTCTCATCGATGTTTCTAGCTCTCTGTCTCTCTCCCTTCCTCTCTGTGGAAAAAAAAAAAAGAGCTGCTTTTTAGGGGTATTGACCGGGCGTGCGGAACCGTCTGGCGGATATGGTGTCGGTCACGTGTTCCTAACTAATCGCTTTTGCTAAAGGCTCCCAGAACGCAGGTGCTGCGGACTTCGTTTTCCGTAAAGTGATCAGCATTCAGACACTTTGGTGGGCGTCGCAGAGCCCTTGACTTGCAGCGCTGGGCGGAAGTCGCTGACAGATGAGGGATGCGGTAGGAGGAGGAGGTTATTATTTACTTGAGTGGACGCTGGTAATAAGGGGTGAAGACAGAGTGATGAGGAGATGTCTGGCGTGTCCTGAATGCTAGTGTGTGAGCTCCTCAAGAAATTTTGCATCTATTATTATCAAATTGCTAAAATATTAGACGACACGGCTCCTCCCCCTTTAGACTGCCCTGCTTTTAAATTGCCGTCTTGTTATATTCTGGTTTTATCCATTTTCGTCAGTATGAATGCCAGGAAGAGAGGCTAGAGAAATAGCCCAGGACCTCAGAAACCATTCTTACGGGAAGTGTTAAAAACCTTGAACTCGCAGTAGCCGTGGGCCCGGGCGGGAGGTGCACAGGTGGAAGGTTGGGGCGGGGCGGGGCCGCACCTGTAAACCGCGGAGCGGGTGGGGACAGAAAAAAACAAAACAAAAACAAACCTTGAACTCTCATTCTGAAGGCATTAGAAAGGTATAAACAGTGTTTTGTTTTGTTTTATTATGAGTGTACATAGTGGAGTATGGTACATGTACAGCTTAAAGCCAACACGTGAGAAAGGAGCGCTCAGACCGTTGAGCAAAATAAAACATTGTGAAATCCGAAAAGCCCCCTGCAAGCTCCTCTCAGAACACACTCTTTTTCTTTGAGACATGAAGTAACTTTTCTAAATCGTGTTGATCATTCTGTGCTTTTTCTTCATAGTCTTGACCAACTATGCTCAAAGCGGTGTACTGTTGCCTACATTTTAATTTTATGTGACTGGGAAAGGACTGTGGGCATGGTTCTGTGTCCTGCATCTTAGGCTTAACTTTGTTTTTGTTATTTAATCAGGACAATACTTGAAGCTGTATGTTTTCCTCCTGCTATGATGTTTACTTGTATGAATATACGCTCATTTATATTTCGCCCTAGCTGGTTTTGCTCAGTGGATAGACTGAAGGCTCCCTGGTTCGATTCCAGTCCAGGGCACATGCCTGGATTGCAGGCTCAATCCTCAATAGGGAGCTTTGCAGGAGGCAGCCTATCAGTGAGCCTCTCTTATCAATAGATTGATGTTTCTATCTCTCTCTCCCTCTCCCTTCCTCTCTGAAATCAATAAGAAAATATTTTTTAAAATAATAATTTATATTTTCATTCTCCCATTGATAGACATTTGCATTGTTCCCATCGTGTGCTGTTATGAACAGTGCTGCTATAGACATGTTTGTACACATCTCTAGCTTTACATGTCCAAGAGTTTCTCTAGGTTGTGGACACGGGATTGGAATCCTTGAAGTGTAGAGTCTGTGCAGGTGGTGCTGTTAGAGGCACATCTCACCAGCACCAGAGAGGTGTCCCGGACAGCTCCCACTGGGAACAGCCTCCATCCTTGTCTTATCTTATAAATGAATGTGTACGAGGGACCTTGACTGCGTTGTGAAAAGCCAACTTATTAAAACATGCACCTTTGATAAAGAAGCAAAGCAAGCAAACCTATACATCTGGCTTAAGAAGTGCAGACGGGCAGCTAATCTGAAAAGCAAATTGGGTGGGGGTCTCAGGCTGATATACCCTCTCGTCTATAGGTTTCAAAATTTCTTCTTTTTTTCCACACTGTATAGGTTCTTCTAGTCAGTCATTTGGTACTAGTTTCAACTTGTAGTTGCTAAAGACGCCTTTCTTCTTCTTTTTTTTAATTCTCACCCAAGGATATTTTCCCATTGATATTTAGAGTGGAAGAGAGGTAGAGAGAGACCCATCAATTGATTGCCTCCCACGTGCACCCTGACCAGGGCTGGGGATTGAGCCTGTAACTGAGATATGTGCCCTTGACCTGAATGGGGCCTGGTAGCCTGCAGTCTGCAGGCCGATGCTCTATCCACTGAGCCAAACCGGCTAGGGCTCAAAATTTCTTTGCTGAACCTATTGGTACAGATTAATTCTCAAGGTCCCTTTTTACTTTGTTGTGGCCTTCCCAGAATTCATGAGAAGCCCCTGGTAATTTTATAACCTAGAGACTGCTGGCTTTTCTGCCTAGGGAGTAACATTGCCCCCTTTTCCTGTCCCTTTCCCCCCTCCCTTTCTGCATTCCCATTAGGGAGGTTTTTAACCATTTGCTTTCAAGTGTCCTTGGCTGGAGAAGATAATGGCTTTTATTTAAAAGCTGGCTGCAGCCCTAACCGGTTTGGCTCAGTGGATAGAGCATCAGCCTGCGGACTCAATGGTCCCAGGTTCGATTCCGGTCAAGGGCATGTACCTTGGTTGCGGGCACATCCCCAGTAGCAGGTGTGCAGGAGGCAGCTGATCGATGTTTCTCTCTCATCGATGTTTCTGGCTCTCTATCCCTCTCCCTTCCTCTCTGTAAACAATCAATAAAATATATTATAAAAAAAAAAAAGCTGGCTGCAAATTGCCCATACTATTTGGTTTTGTAAAACTGAGACTTTCTGTCTCAGTTTCCCCATTCCTCCTGCCCTGGAATCCTGTAACAATGCTAATTCTTTCCCAAAGGGTTTGTCCTAGTTTATACTTCTAGCAGGGGATGAGAGTTCTCTTAGCTCTATATCCACAGTAACTAACACTTGGTATTATCTGAATTATGAATTTCTGTCATCTTGTAAGTATGAAATGGTATCAATTGGTTTTTCTTTTGAACTTTTCTTATTACTAATGAGGTTGCACATCTTTTCGCATGTTTTAAGGCATTTTTATTTACTTCCTCTGTTGTGAAACTTCTATGTATTTTTTTTTGCCATTTTTTAAATTCATAGCCATTGAAGTGTTTAAATTGGGAAGGACTTGGTCAGATGTGCATTTTAAATAATGACAATTGTTCATTTCAAGCTTTTATTAAGGATATTGGGAAGTGAACGATATATGAAGATTAGCTAATTCTCTGTGATTTCATCCAGAAACAGCAAAGTATAAGAAGCAGAAAGCAGGTGTACCTCACTGGGGTGGATAACATGAATTATCAAGACCTGCTTCTGCAGAAGAATCTCCTGATAAGATTATTAAAACAAAGATTCTTATGCCTCAGCCCAGAGCTTCAGATTCAATAGGTCTGGGGTGGAGGCCAAGAATTACATTTCTTTCTTTTTTTTTAATATATTTTTATTGATTTCAGAGAGGAAGGAAGAGGGAGAGATAGAAACATCAATGATGAGAGAGAATCAGTGATTGGCTGCCTCTTGCACGCCCCCCACTGGGGATCGAGCCCACAACCCAAATATGTTCCCTTGGCCGGAATCGAACCTGGGACCCTTCAGTCCACAGGCCAACGCTCTATCCACCGATCCAAACCGGCTAGGGCAAGAATTACATTTCTAACACACTTGCAGCTTATGCGCCTGCTGCAGGCCTATGTATCATACCTTTGAATAGTACTAATGTAAGTTATAGCTGTTGGATTTAAGAAGTTCCTGAAATCCAGGACCAAGAGTTTTAAATAAATGCTATGGGAGATAATTTATGGCCCTTCAGAGGAATTTTGTTTTGATGAAAGGAGACCTTTATGTCCCCTTAAGCAAGTCACTCATCTTTTTGGTCTGAGTGTCTTTTATGAAATGGGAAAAATTATACTGATTCTTCCTACCTGTCATGGTTATCATGAAGGGTATACAGAAATAAGGCTCATGAAAACTCTTTGGAAACCCTATACCAGTGATTATTAACTGAAAGTGTACATCAGAGTATCAACTTTTAAAAATTCTATGTACATACACACATATGCAAATATAGTATATACATATATACACATACTTAGGCTTCACTTCCATAAAATTTGAAAGGTTGCTTATCTATATATATATAAAAGGCTAAAATGCAAAGTGTCCCCTTGGGAGTTCGATCGCTCACTATGATGTGCGCTGACCACCAGGGGACGGCATGGAACAAAGGAAGGCCCCCATCGGCTCCGATTGCCAGCCACACCTAGGGACCCTACTATGCATATAAACGTCCAAAAGTGGGCTAAAATCTGATGTGTGTTTTGTTTTGTTTTTTTCCTCTAGATGAATCAGAACTCCTCACTGTTCCTGATGGTTGGAAGGAACCAGCTTTTTCCAAAGAGGACAATCCCAGAGGACTCCTGGAGGAAAGCAGTTTTGCAACTTTGTTCCCAAAATATAGAGAAGCTTACTTGAAAGAGTGCTGGCCGTTGGTTCAAAAAGCCTTGAATGAACATGTATGCATATTTTATATATTTCTTTGAGATTTTGCTCCTGCTTACACCTTGATTTTTAAGTAAATGTATGTGTGCTGGTGGATTTTTTTAAGGTGCCAGCATAATTGACTAATTTGGTTCCTTTGGTATTTTAAACAGCCTACATAAGTTTTATTGTAATACATGTGTTTTTAATTTTTTGAATAATAGATTACTGAAAAATACACATTCCTTTAAAATTGTAGATATTTGATGGACTGTCTGAAACTCATCTGTGAACTCCCAATTTTCAGAATGCCTATTCTGTACTGTGGTGGTTGTCACAAACCTGCACAGTTTGAGCCGGGCATGTTTCTGTCTAATTGCTTAATTTTCATTTTAAATAAAAGATGTGGATGTGCCATCTTTTTCCTATTTGTTGCTGCTACCATGCCCCTCGAGTGGTATATTTGTTTTTGTTTTTCAAATGTGGGTTGAAATCCATTAGTGGATCCAGAAGTCAATTTATCGGATATAAGGAGTCTTTAAAATATGAATGTGTCACATGTGGTAAGGATGATTTTATGAAGCTTTTGATTCATTTTATGTGTATACTAGAGGCCCAGTGCACGAATTCGTGCACCAGTAGGGTCCCTCAGCCTGGCCTGCGGGATCGGGCTGAAACCAGCTCTCCAACATCCCCCGAGGGGTCCCAAATTGCAAGAGGTGCAGGCCAGGCTGAGGGACACAGGAGGTTGGCCAGCCAGGGAGGGATTGTGGGAGGGCTCCAGAGCGTATCTGGCCCATCTTGCTCAGTCCTGATTGGCTGGACCCCAGCAGCAAGCTAACATACCAGTTGGAGTGTCTGCCCCTTGGTGGTCAGTGCACATCATAGCGAGCAGTTGAGCAACCTTAGCATATCATTAGCATATTACACTTTGATTGGTTGATCAGTCGACCAGACACTTAGCATATTAGGCTTTTATTGTATAGGATATGTATGTGTACTAGGTTGTGACATGAAATATATTTCTCAAACTGAGGGACTGCTCTGGACTCATTTGTGCCCATTGAGTATGAGAGTGACTCGGCAAACTGCAAGCAATGTTTCATAGCTGTCTACATCTGAGATTGGTTTCTCTCTCTCTCTCTCTTTCTCTCTCATAAACTTATACAGACCCAGCCTTATGTTGAATAGTTCTTCACTCGCTATGTTTACATATTCTTCAAAATATGCTCATATGTTAGAAAATAGCATGTGAGTATAAGTATGGCCTCATTTGGATTGATACATATTTTTTAAACTAGAGATTATCTTTATTCCAGTAAGTACAAAGTATTCTAAACCCCAGTAAGTATAAATGGTTTCAATTGCCTGAGTTTCTATATTCTTTGAAGTATGAAAGTAATCAAGCATTCTTTATATTAACTACCCAGCTTCTTCAAGGAGAGAGTTGATAGAATTTTAGAGAGAGATTAATTCATAGTAATTAATGGTTAGATTGGGATAGGTTATGTAAGTATCTAAACTGAATTCATTTTTAGGCGGCTGCTTGTTTGCGCTTTCCTTTCTGTAGCATGTTAATGCAACCCTGGACCTGATCGAGGGCAGCATGACTGTTTGTACAACAAAGAAGACTTTTGATCCATACATCATCATTAGGGCCAGAGACCTAATAAAACTACTAGCAAGAAGTGTTTCATTTGAACAGGTAAATTTACAGTTACAGAGATTCTGCTTTATTTGTGCCATTAGAGATAACACAGCACTGTATCCACCCACCCGTTCTTCCCTCTTTCCTTCCCTCCCTCCCTCTCTGGGTCCCTTATTCCCTCCCACCCTCCCTCTGTAGAATTTTCATTATTCTGCTTAGATATCAGTATAGACTTTGAAAAAAAATGTATTTGTAAAGAATATTTTCTTTATGTCTTCAAAAGGCAGTACGAATTCTTCAGGATGATATTGCATGCGACATCATTAAAATAGGTTCTTTAGTAAGAAATAAAGAAAGATTTGTAAAAAGAAGACAACGGCTTATTGGTCCCAAAGGATCTACATTAAAGGTACTTTTTACCAGTAGAAAACTTGAGTATCTGTTTTTGTCATTAGTTTTTCAGTGTATTTCAACTGAATTTCAACTTACTGTTCTTTGATGTAGGCATTGGAACTCTTAACAAACTGTTACATTATGGTTCAGGGAAACACGGTTTCAGCCATTGGACCTTTTAGTGGCTTAAAAGAGGTGAGACTTAATATCTTAATTTTCAGCAGAGAACAAATTAAATAATGTGGTTATGATATATTGTTTTATGATTATTGTATTGTTTTAGGATGTGCTTTGTTTGATTTTTCAATTAGTAAATACGTTGTACTTCATGGAATTTGAGAGAGTCATTGCTCCTGGACACTAACATATTATGACCAACCTTTGACAGTTACACACATCTCAATTAGGTCTTCACACCATCTTTCCTTCCACTACAAATTTTAAATGGGTGTTTAAGCTCTTAGTCCATAGCACATATGAGAAACATGATGTAGTTACATGTGCTCAAATATTAGGGAATTGAACAGATGTTATTTGCAGAAACGTATACAGTCGAGGTCAAACTCAAATTTTCCTTTATGATACATTTCTTTTGTTTGCATTTATTTTAACTTGTTATGAGGAAATCTGTTGAGCAGCTACTGTTCCAATTGACTCCCTTTGATACTGTTATCTGGATCTGGCTGTGAGGTCTTGCTTCTTCCTTTCCAGGGCCTTTAAAAGAATTTTCTTGGACCTCATTCTTAGAAATGATCTACCCTTTTCTCATGGGGCAATAATAACTTAAATACATTGAATACTTTGTAATTCTATAAAGTGTAAATACGTTATTCAGTTCTTACCACAGACCCTTGAGGTATCTTCATTTCCACATGGCAAATGAGAAAGCTGGAACAGGAAAATTAAGTATCTTTCCAAATAAAGTGGCAATCCCATTATTTGAGCCCACATTTTCTGACTCTGAATCCATCTCCCCCCTAAATCACTGTTACAGAGTAATACACTTGTTCAATATGTCATGTTTTCACAGTACAATTGAGTAACGCCACTGTACCCAGGGTTAACTATTATGAAAGATCTAGCAGCCGCTAACAGCAACTGAAGGAACTATTCAATTTGGCAGCCATTGTCTGGTTTCTAGGATATTTTGCAATATAGTAATTGCTTTCTACCTGGTTCATTAAGATATTTATAAATGACTAATGCATTTTTCTTTGCAAATTTCAGGTTCGAAAAGTAGTCCTAGATACCATGAAGAATATTCATCCAATTTATAATATTAAAGTGAGTGTTAATTATATATTCCTGTAACTGTGGTCATCAAACTTCTTTTAGCTACAGAAAACTTTCTTGAAATTAAATTTTTATAAAAGTTGAATAGACGAAACAGATAGAGATATTTGGGGTAAATTAGAGGTAGAATTCAATCCACTCAACTCTACCCCATTCTCAAGTTACTTCCTTAAAAGCTTGGGTCTCTGTAGAGTCCAGTATTGACAGGGACACTAATCTATATATAAAACCCTAATATGCAAATAGACTAAATAGCAGAACAACCGGTCGCTGTGACGTGCACTGACCACCAGGGGGCACACACAAAACATGGCAAGCGTTGGCAGCAGGCGGCAGAGTGCGGAACATGGCAGGCATTGGCCACAGTGGGATGGTGGAGCAGGTGAGCAGGGGCCACCAGACCAAGGTGAGGCCCCTGTCACTGTCTTTGGGGCGAGTCTCTGCTGGTTACTGAAAATTCTTTGCTCCCATGTGCCACAGTCCTGCAGGCACTCGCATTTGCTGCTGGTGCTGGCCCCACTCACACCTGTTGCCAACCCTGGAGCCGCCACTTGTACCCACTGCCGGCATACAGTGCTGACCCCAATCTCTTGGCGCCATCAGCAGGTTCGAGCAGCAGCTGCCAGCCCCAATCGCCCATAGGGCTTCTCTACCTCCTCCTGCTCCTGAGGGGCGATCGGGGCCAGCAGCTGCCACTCACACCCACTACCGGCCCCATTCACAATCACTGCCAGCAATGGCCCCGCTCGTACCCACAGCCAGAGCCACTGCTCATATCTGTCAGCGCCTGGCGCCAGTCCTGATCGCTCGGTGCCATCGGTGGGTGCAAGCAGCAGCTGCCGGCCCCATTCGCCCAAGGGCTTCTCCACCTCCCCCTGCTCCTGAGGGGCGATTGGGGCAGCAGCCGCTGCTCACACCCGCTGACAGCACCAGCCCCGCTTGCACCTGCTGCTGGTGCCATCTCCAGTCTCTCCACACTGTCAGCGGTGCAAGTGGGGCCGGTGCCATCAGCGCATGGGAGCGGCAGTGGTGGTGGGAGCAGGGTTGCAGGCAGGCAAGGGACTGGAGGCCGCGGCAGGAGGGGCCGGGCAGGGGCACGGAGGATGGGCCAAGACCCCTGTGCCCACAGCAGCCTCGTGGCCCACAGTTCATTTCAAGGTGCATGAACTTGTGCACTGGGCCCCTAGTGTATTATATAGTTCTAATACAAAAAAGCTTCACAGAATTTGTGATAGATTTTATCAATCCTGTTTTCTTAGGTTGTGAGCCCATCGTTATATTTAAAGATGTTTTCTTTCAGAATTCTGCCTTTTTCTATTAAATAAAGCCTCAGATATTTTAGATTGCATTAAAACTTTTGGGGAGGAGAGGACTTAATACTCAAATTATTTAGCCTACCCAAAATAGCTCTGCTTTATCTGTTTTGTATGTTAGCCTTTTGAGAGAGATGTTATATCACTGTGTGCACAAAGTTCATGACTGTTCTTGGAAATGTAACCATGCTATAATGAGCTATTTTATTTATGATGAGTATTTGTTGAGTAGTCCAGTTAAATTTGGTGAAGGTAAGTTTAAAAGTCTCTTGTTAGATTGGCATGAAAGAACAGTTTTCAGTTACATTGGGACATTAAAGATAAAGAGAGCTAGTCATGCATCTAATGCCTGGTTTGCATCTTCCTGTGTTTCAATGTCTATAAAATTCAAATGGAGTGGAAGAAATGTGAGAATATTGGTTTTGTCCGATCATGAAAAGGTTAGCTTTTTCCCCCTGTGATATTTCAGGTGCTACTGAAAGCTTCCTGCTTTCAGGGAACATTATTAAGGATTCTCCCTGCTATTAAGTTGAGTTTTAAGTTTTAAAGAAATAATGGTTGAAAAGCTGGATTAGTCTCTTTCATCTCAATTTATTTCAATAATTTTGAAATTTCTTCATCTAATTTTCTTATGCTTGGTTAAAAATCAAGATTACATATTCTTTTCTTTATGGAATTAGTCTAATCCTACCTAAGAGACTAAGATCTATGTATAAGAACAATATTTATGATGTCTTAATTTGACAAATGTATGACATCTGAAATTAACATTTTGCCTTGTTTGTATATTGCATGACTAAAGACCTTAATGATTAAACGAGAGTTGGCAAAAGATTCTGAATTAAGATCACAAAGTTGGGAAAGATTTTTGCCACAGTTCAAGCACAAAAATGTGAATAAACGCAAGGAACCAAAGAAAAAAACTGTTAAGAAAGAGTATACACCATTCCCACCACCACAACCAGAAAGTCAGGTAAGTATTAAATGTTGAATTTCATTATATGATGGAGAAACTGTTATCAATTTTGTAAGAAACTTTATTGAGGGTATTTTAGGTGGAATTTTGTCAGCTGTCTTCTGGTTTCCTTTCCGAAATGTCCTTTCCCATTTTGCCCATTGTTTTCTTTCATGTTCCTTTTTCCTTTTTCCTTCTATCACACCTGCCCAGCAAAACTCTTAAACTTGGACCAGTCCTAAAATAACTTCTTTTTCATAATGTGGCTACTACACATAGGTGGAAGAAGTCATAACTTCGGACTATATCCATTCTAAATGTATGTTTCCAACCTCAGATAGGTGCTCAGTATTGTCTTGTAGTTCTGTGAATCCTCTTAATTGTCTAGGCTAAAAATAGGCTAAACAAGCAGAAGCTCTCAGTAAGAGACAAGAGGAAAGAAACAAAGCTTTCATTCCACCTAAAGAAAAGCCAGTTTTGAAACCTAAGGAAGGTAAAGCTTGTTTTCCAATTCTTGGTGTGATGTAAAAGTCTGTTATCTGAAGAGTAAACCCTAAGTGAATTTACCTAAATGTGAGTGTTAAGTAAGGAAATAACCATATCTGCTGTTAATTCACTTAGCATGTCATTAATCACTAATCCCAGGGACAGGAAACGACTGGGGTAATTGTACTTTGGTAACAGCTATTCCCCGTGTAAGTACCCAGGCTGACAGTCCTCTCCTGGCTCTGGATGTGCTTGGGAAGGACCTTTTGTTTGAAAGATATAAACCAGAGAGTGACTCTTCTGTACAATCATGTCCCACTCCTAGCAGCTGTCATTTAATTTTATTTTACTGAAATATTTTAGACCATCAGGCAAGAACTCTTTCAACTTCCTTTTTTCTCACCTACATTTTCCCATGTGTATCAATTCTTTCTTTACCTACTCTTTTACTTCTTTTTTCATCTATCTCTTGAGGGTTCTTGCTTCATTATTCCCTCCCTTGGAAACTCTTCCCTCTCTGCTAGTTCTTTAGGCTCAGCATGTAAACCCATCCCTTTCTGGGTACTGTCTTCCTCCACAGCCTTGTGTTTGAAGTTTTTCAGGGAAGGTTTGATGAAAGGTCAGAGGGAAGGAATGATGGTCATCATGGTGAAAAACAGTGGAAGTGCTGGATCATGAGGTTTCCTCGGGGAAAGGAAGAAAGGGAAGCCAGAAAGAAACTGATAGTTGGGGGGAAGTAGAGTGATCCAGATACTAAACCATGTTCCATAACACCTGCTGTACTTCTTTCTTTTAACTTTTTAAAATATATTTTTATTTATTTCAGAGACAAAGGGAGAGGGAGAGAGGGATAGAAATATCAATGATGTACTGGGAATTGAGCCCACAACCCGGGCATGTGCCCTAACCAGGAATCGAACAATGACCTCTTGATTCATAGGTCAATACTCAACCACTGGGCCACGCTAGCCGGGCCAGCTGCTGTACTTCTTATAGCCCTGTCCTATAGTTAGTAATTGTCTTTCTCCCCTATACCTATAAACAGTGATTCAACAGTCTCAATTGATTTATTCTGCCACTTATTTGCTAAAAATTTATTTAAATGGAGATAATGATAACACCTATCTCAAAGAATTGTTAACGAGGATTAAATGAATTAGTAGTTGTAAAGCGCTTTCATCTGTAAAGAATTTGGAACATTGCCTTATATATAATAATGCTATGTACATGCAAGGTAGATAAATTATCAATGTCGACTATATAGTGAATGAATGAGCCGTAGCTTTCTCTACTTAGTGTTTTAGTCACCAAATTCTGACAATCTTGCTTTTTATTTTGCATGCCACTACCCTTTATTCCAGGTTTTTATCTCTTCTCTATTCTTCTGTACTTTAAAAAATGCTGCTCGGGCCCGGCCTGAGTGATTGAGTTGGTTGAGTGTCGTCCTCTGCACCGAAAGGTTGCCGGTTTGATTCATTCAGGGCCCATACCTGAGTTGTGGGTTTGATTTCCAGTTGGGGAGCATTTCTCTCTCTCTCTCTCTCTCCCTCCCCCCATTACTTTCCTCTCTATATGCATGTCATCTAGTGAGGATTGAGAGGGAAAAATAGCTTACATTAAAAAAAAAATCCTGCTTTGGTCTCTTCACTCTTTTCAGAAACTTGAATCATTTCTAAATCATGTCCCACCTTCTTCACCTGACATTCAAATTTCTTCAACTTTCCTCAAACTATTTTTCCAGTTTCCTATTACACTTTTCTGAATTATTGACCTTTCACCCTCCTTGAAGCAGTCTCTTGTGTATTCCTTGAACACATTACCTGCTTTCCTACCTCTATGCTTTTATGGACATATTTCCTTCAACTTAGAGTACGTTTCCTTCTTTTTTGTCATTCCCTTTATGAATTAATCATAGATTTTTGAGCCTCTGTCTTTACCTCGTGACATTTCTTCCTTAGAAAATGACTTTCATCTACATTATTTCTGAAGTAATTTTAAGTACTGATTTCAACAGATTGATAAAGAATTGGCTAGTGGTGAATACTTTCTGAAGGCAAGTCAAAAGAAGCGACAGAAAATGGAAGCAATAAAGGTAAGACTGTATTTAGCTCTAAGTGAATTTACCTAAATGTCAGTGTTAAGTAAGGAAATAACCATATCTGCTGTTAATTCACTTAGCATGTCATTAATCACTAATCCCAGGGACAGGAAACGACTGGGGTAATTGTACTTTAGTAGCAGCTATTCCCCGTGTAAGTACCCAGGCTGACAGTCCTCTCCTGGCTCTGGATGTGCTTGGGAAGGACCTTTTGTTTGAAAGATAAAAACCAGAGAGTGACTCTTCTGTACAAATAAGAGTAAAGCCTCGAGATCCCTGAGCTCTGCTATCACGCCTTTCAAAAACAGCTCAGCAGAGGTTGTGATTTCCTTCTCTCATGTGATCTGTAGCTTACGTTTGATTCCTATATTGTTACCATGGATTTTTCATTATCTTCAGCCAAAGGACACCAACAAAATAATACTAGTCATTCATTGAACTAACATTGGGAAAGCTTTTAAGTTTTTATATGGTGTTAGAGATGATTTTGACTTATAACTTCATGATTAATTAATTAAAATTATGGAAGTTGGAAGGATGACATATAATATTCTTCATGAAATAGAATTCTAAATTATTTTAACAAGTAAGATGGAAAATTGGCATATTAATAAGTGCTGTAAAGTTCCAAAATGTGGGAAAGAATATAAGTAAAAATAATCTAACTTGAAGTATGATTGAAGGGGTTGAGGGTGGCGAGGAATGTAGTTTTAATATAGTTGAATCCAGTAATTGGTTCACATAGCTAAACTGTAATGCCATTTTCACATATATTTTCACTAATGTGTTTTTAAAGTTGTTGTTTTTTTCTCTCTTAAAGAAATTTCTAATTTTCCTTTAGGCATATGGCAGATGTTTTATATTTTATAACATGACCTTCCAATTATAAAAATATTCTGAAATTATTGTACTAAATACATATTCTTTATATTTTATTTGGTAAAATCTAAAGAATTACACATATTGTGTTTTTATTTGTCTAGCTTCTACTGAAACTAAAATTGACGTGGCTGCCATCAAGGAAAAGGTTAAGAAAGCAAAGAATAAGAAACTGGGAGCTCTCACAGCTGAAGAAGTTAAGCTTAAAATGGAAGTAGATGAAAAGAAAAAGAAGAAAAAAAAGTAATACAAAAAAACCCTGAACCTAGAACTTATTAAGCTATCTCCTTTTATAAAGGACTTTGAGGTACTGGGGCATTAGTTGCCTTATGTGTAGGAAGTAATACTCTGATTACTTTTTTCTGAGTTTGTTTGTTCTTTATAACAATGTTTATATATATGGCTATTCTTTATAAATATAATTACTAGAGGCCCGGTGCATGGATTCATGTACTCGTGGGGTCCCTCAGCCTGGCCTGCAGGGATCAGGCTGAAACCAGCAGTCCAATATCCCCCAAGGGATGTAGTAGTGCACGAAGTGGCAGGCAGCTGGGGAGGAGCCCAAACCCAGGTCGGGAGCCACATCACTCCTGCTCATCCCAGCCCTGCTGTTCAGTAGGCTCGCTGCTGCTCCACTGTGGTCTCCACGCACCCATCCTAGGGCGATACTGGCGTGCCCATGATGGAGAAGTGGCCACAGGCTCGCACCCAGTCAGTCCCAATCCTGGACCCGGTCTGGATCGGGGGTGGGGTGGGGGGGTGGTCAGGGGGAGTGTCCGTGGGAGAGGCTCGCGTGAGCTCACCATCTGGTGCCCGTCAGTCAGCTGAGCAGCGCTCCTGCTGTGGGAGTGCACTGACTACCAGCGGCAGCTCCTGCATTGAGCATCTGCCCCCTGGTGGTCAGTGAACATCATAGCTACTGGTCAGGTGGACTAGGCTTTTCTATGTATAGATTATATTATCCATGTTTTTTTTGAAAAATTTTATACTAGAGAGTTGTATATATGTCTTAATATACATTGCACCTAATCTGTTCCAGGCAGTTTTGGTCTAGTATGATTTTAAGAGTAATTCTTTAGGTTGTTTATATAGATTTTGGGAATTTGGCTATTGTAGTTATTCATCAAATCGAATATCTTGACACCATTGGTTAGTTTTTATATACAGGGTTGGGCAAAAATAGGTTACAGTTGTGGTACACAAAACACAGTTGTTGTTTTTTAAATATATTTTTATTGATTTCAGAGAAGAAGGGAGAGGGAGAGGGAGATAGAAACAGCAATGATGAGAGAGAATCATGCCTCCTGCATGCCCCCTATAGGGATAGAGCCTGCAACCCAGGCATGTGTGCCCTGACAGGGAGTCGAACCGTGACTTCCTTGTTCATAAGTCAACACTCAACCACTGAGCCGCACCGGCTGAGCTTCTTAACTTTTCTTGACAATTATATCTGCGAAATTAAGGATGTGAGATGTACCCTGGCCGCTGTGGCTCGGTTGGTTGAGCATCGTCCCATGCACTGAAAGGTCTCAGGTTTGATTCCAGGTCAGGGACATACTTAGGTTGTAGGTTTGGTCCCCAGTTGAGGTGCATGCAGGAAGCAACCAATCGATGTTTCTTTCTTACATCAATGTTTATCTTTCCCTTTCCCTTACTCTCCAAAATCAATTTTTTATAAAAAGAATATGATGTGCTATTTATATTTTCTGCGTATATATTTTTTAAATATTCAACTTGAATATTGAAACAAGTGTATCCATGTACTAGGTAAAATCATCGTGTGTACCATCCAGTATGCCAAGCATATTTTGCAAAACTGTCCTGAAATGGCCCCCATCAGTATTTATTGAGCCTACCAACAGTATCTAGAAGACCACAAAGGAATTTTTTCCTCCAGTATTTGCCAGAATTTGTTCATAAATAGAATCTGTTAAATAAAATCTTTCCTTTTAACCTTTACGCCCCATGTAAGTTAGCATGTATTTTCCCTTTATCTCTCTTAAGAGCCCAGGGTTTTCTATTATTAGACTGCAAGCCTCAGTTTTCTGAACTTTATTCCATAAGATTAGAGACCATTTGAAGTTGGATCAATATCAAAAGCTAAAACTCCAGCAAGTTTCTTGTTGTTATCATTGTATTGTTACTAAAAGGAAGGGTTTATTATTATTATTATTATTATTATTATTTTATTATTTTGGTTTTGGTTTCTAGGAAACATGCACTCTATTAGTGTTTATTTGTCAGCCAGAATAGGCACCTTGGCTAAAAGGTGAATTAAATAGGCATAATTTCTACTTGCTTGGAATTTAGAGTCTAGTGGGAAAGACAGACACTAACCAATGGCAACAATTAAAAACCCTACCAAAGCACCAAGAGTAAACTCAAGATTTGGGAGGACAAATTTGGGGATGGTAGAAAATATTTATTGAGTGCTACTGTATGCCAGGTCCATATTCTAAATATATACATATATTTTGTTTTTGTTTTTCTTTAAATTGTTTCACCAAACCTGTGAAGAGGCCTATCATCTATATTTTTTTTTTTTTTTGCTTGTCATATATGGCCTTTATTTTTTTTTTAAATATATTTTTTATTGATTAGGGTGGCCTGCAGGGATAGGGCCCAAATCCACAGTCCAACACCGTCTGCAGCTCCTACCTGCCACTCTTGCTTATCCCGGCCCCACTGTGCCTGCCGCGGGCTTGCACCCAATCAGTCCCAATCAGGAGAGGCTCATGCTGCCACACAAGCACTCACCATCCATGAGCTCTGCATCTAGCGCCCTCCCAAGGGGATTGGCTTGCGGAATGGGGCTGAAACAGGCTCTCTGACATCATCTGAGGGGTCCCGGATTGTGAGAGGGCACAGGCCAGGCTGAAGGACCCCACCAGTGTACAATCGGGCCAGGGAGGGACCACGGGAGGACTTCAGGGCATGTCTGGCCCCTCTTGCTGAGTCCCGATTGGCCAGACCCCAGCAGCAACCTAACCTACCAGTCGGAGCATCTGCCTCCTGGTGATCAGTGCACGTCATAGCAAGCAGTTGAGCAGCCTTAGCATATCATTAGCATATTACACTTTGGTTGTTCGGTTGTTCTGCCATTTGGTCTATTTGCATATTACCTTTTTATTATATAGGACTAGAGGCATAGTGCACAAAAATTTGTGCACAGGGGGGTGGGAATGGGGGGGGCCCTCAGCCCAGCCTGTGCCCTCTCGCAGTCTGGGACTCCTCAGGGGATGACCACCTGCTGGCTTAGGCCTGCTCCCTGGGGGATTGGGCCTAAGCTGGCAATCAGACATC